AGAATGGGTTAACCTCGCATTCCTGTCCAGATCTCAGCTATTGGCATAGTAAGGTTTCTAGGGGTGCTCTCCCTATAATTCTCTCTGAATCACCCTTTGCAAGTAATTCTTCCGGAAAACATTATAAGTTAAATGGACCTTTCACAGTGGCCTGGCGTAACGCCCAGGATTTTAATATTTTTAACAACAACAGCAGTGATGAAGAAACAACAGTTAAATTAATACCTTTCAAGAAGTCATTCATATTAGGATAAATTGACTGATGAATTTACTTGGGGGGAAATAGCAAAATGATGCAGGAATGTGAAGGTGTGGGAAACTGAAGAACTGAACCTCAGATTGGAAAAATGAGACGCTGAAATGGACAGATTTTGGCTATCGCTACAGGTGGCCTAAACTCCTGGTAGACAAGTATCATCTAAATCGGATGCCTTGATGACCCTTGACACGTATTGATTTGCGTGTGTGCACACAAGTAACACATAAAAACTTCTTTAAAAAAACAACAACCTGCCAATCAAGTGCCACGGCCCAGTTAGCATCAGAAGAACTGGGAAATTATCCTTCCTGATACGAAACAGCACTTATCCAGGTCAGAGACGTACTGAGACATCTACAGAGAGCAGACATCAGAGGCAGACTGCCCCCTCGGCCCTTTGTCACCATTAATATCTACCTCACGGAGGTGTTGTGAGCCTTAATTAATTGGTGTTTGAGATCCACAGATGAAAGGTGCTGACTGAGAACAAGGTAGTAATTAGAGTAATTGTTGTTATTGTTATTAAGCTTTGATATGCTTACACAAAAAAAGATGAAAGGAAAATGGTCTGTTCTGAAAGGAAGCCCCGGTAATGAAATTCTCCAAAAATAGAAAAGCTGAAGGGGGGAATTTAACACCCACTACTGCCTTACGTTTATTCTCAAGCCTGATCTGCACACAGGAGCAAAAGGAAATGGTAGACTCTTGAAGAGTGGACTGTATCATTTCAGTCTGCAGGTGAAGAGTGCCCTTTCTTCAATACCACCCATGACAAAACTAATTGCTAAGAAGAAGAAGAAGAAGAAGAAGAAGATAGCTCCTCTTGAGGAAATTAACTATACCCTACTATACTGGCTTTCTACTTACAAAGAGGGTGGTTCTCCCCTCCCTCCATCTGTCTATCTAAAATGCATGGCTCTTCTCCACCAGATTCAGTATTTAACCCATAGCTGTCAACTTTTCCCTTTACTTGCGACGAATCCTATTCAGAATAAGGGAATTTCCATTTAGAAAAGGGAAACATTAATAACAACAACAACAACAACAACAACAACAACAACAATAATAATAATAATAATAATAATATATATTTATATCCCGCCCTCCCCAGCCGAAGCCGGGCTCAGGGTGGCTAACAACAATAAAATAAGACAACATTTTAAAATCATTTCATTAAAAAATTACTTCAAATCAAATTGATGGCAACCATTGGGTAGAGTTCTGTGAAGATTGCCAAAGGAGGGAGTCAGGCTGTGCCCTGGCCAAAGGCTTGGCGGAACAGCACTGTCTTGCAGGCCCTGCGGAAAGATGTCAAGTCCCACAGGGCCCTAATCTCTGACAGCTATGATTTAACCTAAATCCCTTCCAGTGGAGGTCTCAGGTAGGCTCCTTCTTTGTTGAGCTTCCAGCACCTTCTTTTAAAAATTCCAGCAGACATTTTAAGTGAGCTTCCATTTTAAAGTTGTAACAGATTTTTACCTTCTTCTTTTTCTGTATTTAATTTCTTGTACACCACTTAGAGATGATTGTAGTTAAGCAGTATATAAATGATTAAAATAAAGTAAATCAATAACACTGCAGTTCCACCTGTTCCATAACCCAACGTGGTGGGGTTTGTTCTCCTTTGCTGGGATTCCAGCACCTCATTCCCTCCTCATTCTGCTGCATGTACGGATCAGGCCTCAGTGAGCTCTGGAAAAGCAGACAACCTGGGCCTATCTGCCGCTTTCCAGCATTTGCCACCTCTTCTAGTTTCTTTTATATGCCTGTTGTCTTTGTCCATGGAGTTTTCTTGGCAGGGATACTGGAGTGGCTTGCCGGTTCCTGCTCCAGGTGGATCACATTTGGTCAAAACTCTCCACTATGACCTGTCCATCTTGGGTGGCCCTGCACGGCATAGCTCATAGCTTCTCTGAGTTATTCAAGCCCCTTTACCACGGCAAGGCAGTGATCTATCGACTGCAAGATCAAACCTCTCCATTCTTAAGGAAATCAGCCCTGAGTGCTCACTGGAAGGACAGATCCTGAAGCTGAGGCTCCAATACTTTGGCCACCTCATGAGAAGAGAAGACTCCCTGGAAAAGACCCTGATGTTGGGAAAGATGGAGGGCACAAGGAGAAGGGGACGACAGAGGACGAGATGGTTGGACAGTGTTCTTTAAGCTACCAGCATGAGTTTGACCAAACTGCGGGAGGCAGTGGAAGAGAGGAGTGCCTGGCGTGCTCTGGTCCATGGGGTCACGAAGAGTCGGACACAACTAAATGACTAAACAACAACTAGTTTCTTTATTTCCATGTCTGGGAGCAGAGGTCCACAGCCCCCCCATGAGTAAGTGGGCCCCCAAATACAACACACCTGACTTACCACATTTTGAGCAAAGCAAAGTAATAGGCATAAGCCCAAAGTCTAAACATACCAAGCCGCACTACTGAATTTAAGTCAGGATGTGAATTATTAGAAGAAAACCAAGGGGATGCCATTTCCTCCAAGCTTTCCACACCTTTCCTATCCTTTCCTTTCTCTCCTCTCACTCAGACCAGCTGTCACATTGAGACAGGCATTCAATCAGTTTAAGTGAACTGTCCCAGATGGTCATTACCAAACCTGCAACTTTAAGTACTGGGCCTTGAACTTGCTTTTACCCTCTTCTCTCCACATCCCCTTTTCCTTGCACGCCATGGCTTTTCAACAGTGAACCCAGGAGCAGGAACTGTCTAGCAACTGATCTTGTAAGCTGCTCTGGGGGCCATTTTGGCTAATGTGCAGGGTGAAAATGCTTTAAATTAATGAAATCCCCACAAGCATTCTTGTATCCCAGCCCCATTCCTACCTTTAGATGCTACAATAAACCTAAGATAAGAAAGAAAAGCAGGACAGGAAGGAGTAAAGAACACCGATCGGCTGGTCTCATGCATGTATAAATAAGTCCCATTGGTAACCATGGTAACAGTACAGAATTGCTGTCCTGTACCACAGCAGCATCCCATATTTCTACAGTTTCTTATCAATGAGCTCTCCTGGAATTTGCTAAATGCAGACACATGCAATATAGAGCTGATGGTTTAAACCAGAGATGAAGGCTCTGTGGCTCTCTGGAGGTTGACTACAACTCCCATCATCCCACGTAATGCTAACTGGAGCTGGTGGGAGTTGGGGTCCAGCAACATCTGGGAGGGCCTCAGGTTCTTCATCCCGAGTTTAAAGTCCACATACAAGTCTGACGCTTGGACAAAAACCACCCAACTCTGAAAACTGAACCTACAAAAATTCCCATTTACTTTGCAGTACCTCTTGCATACCTTTTTCTTCCTTCCCTCCCTTCCTCTCTCCCAGCCTTCCATTCTATTGCATTTCCCCTTCCTTCAAAATATTTATACCATGTTCCATCTACTATGTTAGAGGTGGCTCACAGCAACACCATCGTCTCTCTCTCTCTCTCTCTCTCTCTCTCTCTCTCTCTGTGTGTGTGTGTGTGTGTGTGTGTGTACACAAACACATATGTGCCAGTTATCCATGAGAGGTTGTAGGGCAATATTGCTAGGACAAAGGTTCTATCACACATGCCACAATCCTGCAAATGAATCATGCATCTCACCATCACATAAAGACTATAAGCATGTCCAGGTGTTTGCCTAACCACACACACGTTATTATTTGTGGGTGGGTGGGAAGGGTGGGCTTTACTCATGAGAAGAACCCTCTGCATAAATGAGGACTCAGCTAAAGTCCCCGACAGGCCATCCCAGCTCGACGGAGGGCTGGGAAAGAGCTTGTGTGTGCACTTCCATCTCCCATCCTTTGCTACAGCATTCACATGTTCACACAAACGTCTCCACACATCTTAATGCCATCCATCAGTTAAGAGATTGGTGCTGAAACATTACTTTCCCAAGATGATGGAGAAGTTGCTCTTGAGAGGGATGAGCCTCCTTCTGCTTAGCAATAAACTCATGTTTATCCATCTGATGGCATTGAGGTTGCTTCGGGATCTTTAAAAACCTTCAGGAATGCTTCCGTCCATCCCTCTCTTCCTTAAAGCTCTACTTGGGCATCATTTCTGAACAGGAAATCTCCAGTGTAGGAAGCACAAGGCCACAGCTGCTAGCCCTGCCCCCAACATCCATGGCTGCACCCACTCAGTCCACAACCTCCCCATGTTGAGCAGAGGAAATTTAAAGGGAGAGTTCTGCTTGCATTCAAGGAAATTTGGGTAAAAGTCCCACCCCACCCCGTGGGTCTTCTCTGCTCAACGTGGGAAGGTCAGGAACTGAGTAGGCAAAGCTGATGTGCTTGGGGGTGTTAACGGGTGGGTCTTATGTTAATTCCCCTTCCCATGGTTTAACTAAAGGATGGAGGGGAACTGTAGTCATTCAGATATTCTAGGACTGCAGCTCCCTTCACCTTTGATCACGGGCCATTCTGGCTGAGGCTGATGGGAATCGGAAACGACATCTAGAGAGCCAAAGGTCCCCCATTCCAGTTTAAACCTTTGCACATTTATCCAAATACCTGAACACTCCTTAAGTCTATATGGCTAGAAGATCCCATCCGCTGCACCTATGTTTGTACCTTGAATCATAATTCTCAATAAATCAGCATCATTAATCTAGCAGGCCATAACTCTGCTTGGATGGGGTTCTGATAAGCTGTTCTCCTTTGTGTCCCTTAATGAAAACAGTTTCTGGATCCCAGAGGACAAATCTCTCTCCCCTGCCCACCCACAGAAGATACAAGACTCACCATCTTCATCCGTCTGAAATATCATCTCTTTTCCTTCTTTCCGTCCCTCGGGGTTGGAGAGGATAAGCTTGACGTGGATGTTTTTGTAGGGGAGGAGGTTCTTGATGGTGTAGCGGTTGGCATTGCGCTCCATCTTCATGCATTCCCGGAACGTCTGGTTGTGGCCAGTGCCCACGGCATAGCGATAGCAGAGCGTGACGGTATAAGTGTGACATCGCGTCAGGTTGTAGCCCAGAGGTTCCCACTGAAGGGTCAGCTGTCTGGACTGGATCTCGGCAAACGCGAGGCCCTTGGGAGCCCTCATGGGTTCTGCCAGAGAAAACAGAGAGAGAAGTGAATGAATCGATGGCACGAGAAAACACCACAGATCCTGGGAAGCCAGTCACTGGTGGACAACAGGGGCAGGGCCATAGCCCAGGAACAGAACATCTGCTTTGCATGAGTCTCAGGCTCAGTCCCTCACATTTCTAATTCCAAACCTTCTCTTTTTAGTAGACATCTTTCCCCATCTCTATGGGCATTGTTTTCTGATTACCGTATTTTTTTGCTCTATAAGACTCACTTTTCCCCTCCTAATGGAGTCTTATGGAGCGAATGCAGGCTGCGCAGCTATCCCAGAAGCCAGAACAGCTGCTTTCACTGCACAGCAATCCCTCTTGCTGTTCTGGCTTCTGAGATTCAGAATATATTTTTTCTTGTTTTCCTCCTCCAAAAACTAGGTGCGTCTTGTGGTCTGGTGCATCTTATACAGTGAAAAATACGGTATTTTTAATTGTTGGTAAAGAGCCTCTTGACAGGATTTTCTGTGGCAAAGGCTGCTCCTGCAAAAGAAGCCAGAGTGGTTTAGAGAGACACTTCAATCTAGGGAGGTGTCTTATCCACAGAGTGGCAGCCAGCCCCTCTGCCTGTCCCACTGCCCCCATCACTAGCAGAGAATTAGCACCAGCATCAGTGCTGATTTTGGGTGAGGTGTCGCTAGCGCCAATTCTCTGCCAGCGGTGTAGGTGGCAGCACAGGCAACATGCCCACGTGGGCACTTCCTCAAGGGCCTGCTCCCTGAGGCAGCTGCTTCACCTTGCCTCGTGGTTGGGCCTGGCCTGTACGCACAGGATTCTGTGAATGAGAAAACAAACATGGCTGCAGTAAGAACACAACCCACACCAACTGCGGAAGCACATACTGTTTCGATGCCTCTGACCATCTCTATTCCCAGTGGCCGACCTTGGGGCCTCCAATTTCAGCAGTGCCCTGTGTGATGGCAAAATTCAGCGCCGCCCCCGCCTCTCACCATTCCATTCTACATCATAGTTGTGGCGCCCCCAAGGCTTTGCACCCAGTGTCCCATAAATCCACCTCTGCTATTTTATAGCCATTTCAAGCTGTTGGTTTTCAGCAGTGTCTAAGGCAGAATGAAAGCAACACCGGACGAGCAAACTCTCGCAATATTTCAGGCAACGACAGCTCCCCTGTGTCTGCAGGGCACTTCCTTCTGGTTAAATATTTGGAATTTTTCATAAACATCATTGGAAGAGACAGTGCGAGGTGAAATACCAGACAAAGCAAAATGCAGCCATAGCATCCCTCTCAGGTCTTTGGCAGCTTACCCGGACCAATCAATCTAACCGCTCTGTCTCTTTTCTCTCCTATAATGATAAAAATCTATCAATTTTATGAGGGTTGTTTTTCTATAGCTGTTATTTTAAAGGTATTTTAGTTGTCCACATAGAGCCTGAATTTACACTGCGGTGGCAACATATAAGTGGGGATACATTTCAATAAAATTACCATTTCTATCATGATTTTGGGTTGTTGTTGCAGTTGTTAAAATGGAAATGGTGTCCCACTGGATTTTATCTCTGTATTCCGAAGTTGTTTTGTAGGAATCGGAATGTGTCTGAATGTGCTCTGAAAATCCAAGAGAACCTCTTGAGCTCTTTAGATGGTGATTTACAAGCCTCTCTTGTTGATTTAAATGCCATCTTTGCAATGCGTATGATGTTTTGTTGGTTGGTTTAAGGATTTGATAGCCGGTTTTTAGTTTTTGTTTAAAGCCATTCTAAAGAGCAGCTTCCAAGGCAGATTAAAAAAACAAAAAACCCACACCTTTGAATTCACAAGGCTTATAAACCAAACCAAACACAACAACAATAACCTGGCCAGCTAAGATCCAAGCTAAGAACAGAAGTCTAAATGACCTGGGGGGAAGTAAAGGTTTTCGACAGGGACTTTAAATATAATGACTTGCTGCCCAGCAAGACTTTAAGGGGAGAGACTTCCAGAGTCAGGGCCCTGAATCTTGAAGAGACAGAGACACTGTGGGCGGGTAGCTCCTGGGTCTGTACATTTGGTAGATGGCCTGTTCTGAACATGGTAGTACTCCTCTTGAAGAAACAGGTAAGTACTCTTAAATTACCTCTCAATCCCAAACTATCACTCAAGGCCTAAAAGACCTCAGTGGTGAGAACTGATTTGCCAGCTATAGATAGGCTGAGACAGTCTGACCTCAGTGATCTATTCTCTGATAACCTCCCAAATGGACTCCTGCAATGTGCTCTGCATGGTGCTTCCCTTGGAGATGGTCCAGAAGCCACAGATGCTGCAGAATGCTGCTGCCAGGTTCTTATGTGGAGCGATGAGATGCGCCACCAATCCATAAAGTACTGCACTGTTCGCCTGAAGGTTACTGGGTCCATTTCAAGGTGATAGTACTCGTGTACAAAGCCCTGAATGGCTTGGGACCCAAGTACTAAAAGGAGTGCCTTCCCTAATATCTACTGGCTCAGGCTTTGAGATCAGCAGGTGAGGCCCTGTCCATGGTCCCCTCAAACAAGCACGGCCTACAAGGTGATGGCACCAAGCAGGGTCTTCTCAGTGGCAGCAACCCAGTTGCAGAATTCCCTCCCAGTGGATATCTGGTGGTCCCCCAAGCTATTCTCTTTCAGGCTTTGGTATGTACCACATTTTTCTGTGTATAAGACACCCCCCATGTATAAGACAACCCCTATTTTTTGGGACCGCAACAGAAATTGCCCAAAGTTGTTGAGCTAAGGTATGCTGATTTTTAATTTTTAATGTGACTTTCTTTTAGCAAAAGAGAGAAAAGGGAATTCTCAAATGTTCTCTGTGAGGAGGGATTCACTATTAAACCACTCTGGAAATTGTAGCTCTCTGTGGGGGAATAAGGGTCTCCTAAAGCACCCTTAACTAAATTCCAAGGATTCTTTGGCGGCAGCCATGACTGTTTATAGTGCTACAGTGCTGCTGTAAATGTACTGACATGGCCCAAGTGAGGATTTCAACCTGGCCTCCCCAAGTCCCTGCCTTTTTACATCAGGTTTGCTTTCGAGTGGTTTTTTCAGTCACTGCACACAAGCGCACCAGAGCTTTGGTAAACAACAGTCTCAATGCAAGTATCAAGAGTGCATTTTATCAGTGGAGCCCGCATGCACATTGGCAAAATAGAAGAGTGTGGTGGCACTGAAAGCTCCAGCACCACACTACAGGGGGGCATCCCATGTCATCACCAGGGGCTGCCTCTAGGTCTCTGGCTTGGGCCCTGAAATCTAAGGGTCTGGGATACTCCTGACTTGGCAACCCTGCTGGCAAGCAGTGCAGGTGTTTAGCAACATATGCGATGTGAGTTCTAACTGGGATTCCAGCCAGTAGCCATTCCTTAGCAGTGCCTGATTTATGCACAAACTAAGTATGTTACAGCTTAGGGCCTCAAATTTTGTGGGGCCTCTAAATGCATGTTAAAGAAAAATAAATTGCAAGTTTTACATAATTGGTTAAAGAAAGGGGAAACAGGGAGACTCTGAGACAAGCATTCTCTGTTTTAGTTGGATTGTTAGTTTTTAATTGCATCATTGCCTATGTGCCAGTATATATGCAAATATGAAATACAATCATTTCTATTTTCGTTGTCCTTTCTGTTGGAATACTAAACGTTTTGTTTTTGGGGGGTTGGGGGGTGATGCTATGCAGCGTTTTAACATTACAGCTTAGGGCTTCGGCGTGCTTTAATCTGTCCCTGAACATCAAGGACCTTATGACAAAATATGGAATTAAAATATTTTGAATAAGGAAATCACACGCAGTACAAGTCTGCCAATATGTTAGAAAGAGTGGAGTCTGATTTACTAGGGCAGGTGGGACACTGCCCCAGCAACCTTACTCAGCCCTCAGCAAGCTCCCACCTGCCTATCTTCTTGCTTATTCAAGGGATGACACTGCCTGTTACATTTCAGCAGGTGTCGTGGGGCACCCCATGCCCCATGCCTGGTCCAAGGAGGAGGATGTTGGGAAGTCCCCAGCAGAAGCTGGGGGACTGTCGTGCGGCTCCCTGAGCAATCAACACAGAGGTGAGCAAGAGGAACAGGGAGGAGCACTCAGCACTGGAATCACAGTGTCTCACGATGATTGGAAAAGGCTAGTGGAGAAGGCTAGTGGAGTCTGGAGATCTAACACTGAGCAGAAGGAGTAGCCACCGGCAGAAGCTGAACAGATCAGAGGAGAGCCCCCAGTGCCTCCTTCCCCACCACCCATGTCATCACCAGGGGCTGCCTCTAGGTCTCTGGCTTGGGCCCTGAAATCTAAGGGTCTGGGATACTCCTGACTTGGCAACCCTGCTGGCAAGCAGTGCAGGTGTTTAGCAACATATGCGATTTGAGTTCTAACTGGGATTCCAGCCAGTAGCCATTCCTCAGCAGTGCCTGATTTATGCACAAACTAAGTATGTTACAGCTTAGGGCCTCAAATTTTGTGGGGCCTCTAAATGCATGTTAAAGAAAAATAAATTGCAAGTCACCTCAAGCACATCAGCAGGCAAGGAGAGAGGAGCAACACCAGTTGAGGGTCTGGCAGCATGTGGACAACAGTGCAACTCCACTGACAGCTGAATGCAGGTGGGGAAATCCTGACTCCACTCTTTACAGCTGCTCGCAGGTGGGCAGACAAGCAACAGACAAGGGGCGTGTTACCCCCACAACTGTAATCCATTAGGCACAATATGTACCCAATATTGGGATGGCAACTTAAGGTGTAGAAGAGCTGGACACCCTTGTCAACCCAACTTCCCTGGGTGGGTGTTTGGCAGAGGGGTTGTGTAAGGACTGAGGAGCAACAGAAGGTGGTGGAGCCTTGTCAGAGGAGGAGGGCGGTGGAGCCATGTTGGAGGGATGATCGGCAGGCGTCAAAGTCAAGATTAGGGAGGGGTCAGGAGTGGGAGTAGCAGCGAGTCAAGAAGAGAGGACAGAAAGGCTGCAAGCAGCCAGGTCGAACCGGGGGCTGGGGGTTTTGAACTGTGAATG